TGCTTTTAAGAATTGTGAAAACCAAGAAAAAAAAACATGTTTAGTTGTGTTTTCTATTTTGGTTGTGCAACAGGTTTCCACAACAGAACCCAAATTTGAGAAACGCCAAAAAGTGGCTTTGGATGTGTTTTGTTTCTTTTTTCCTTTATTGCCTTTTTTTTTTCTTTACCAATCGTGTATTCATTCACGCCACTATTCATCTTCTTGGTTCCTTTTTCTCCATCTCTACTCACCACCATCTACCGCTCCTCCCGCCGCCATAGCCACACCTCCACTTCTCAACCCAACCGTCCCCGTCACCAGTGCCGACGAGCTCCACACCACCATCTACCACTCCTCCCGGCTACCGCCACCGTAGCCACTCCTCCTCCACTTCTCAATTCAATCGTCCCCGTCGCCAAGCGTTGTCGGAATAACTTCCTCCGCCGCCGTCGCCACTCCCTTGCCCATCTTCTCAATTCCTTCCGTCGACCCCAACGCCTAATTCCGACCCTCCTCTTCCTTCCTCCTCCACCCGCTCCATCAATTTCGTCGCCAACCAACATCGACGACCCCATAGCGCCGATGACCGCACAACGTCAAGAGGGAAGGTGGAGATGGCGATGATAAAGGTGGGTCTCTGTCTTGGAAGGGTTTCGGCGGAGTCAGAGGAGTGGATAGGGAAGAAGTTTCTGCATCTCAGACTTGGGGGCTGCTGGCTTTTGATTTCCAGATTCCCCAACCACAGCAGTTTTCTTTTTCCCGTTTATTTGGGTTTTTTGTTTGAGTTGTGTTGGTGTTGTGTTTCTTCTACGTTCACAAAACCTTCTCACAACACAACAAGAAGGAAACTCTACTAAACAGGGCCTAAGTTGTTGGTGAGCGATGAATTTGGGGCCGACAAGGGAGATTAGAAAGGGTAGGGAGAGGGTTAGCGGCGTCTAGCGGCGGAGGACGGAGGAACAGGGGAAGAGGATAGGGCATTAAGGTATCGGCGTGTGGCAGCGGAGAAGAGAGGGTCGGGATGGGGGGAACGAAGTGGTGGTAGGTTGGATGGGGTAGGTACCCTTTATGTTTTGGGGTGGTTGAATTTGGGTTCAATCAAAATATTGAAAAAACCCAACCCAAATCAAACTAACCAACCCACAGACATAGAGGACTAAAATGAAAGAAAAACTAATTCTATGAGTTGATCTGTAATTTTATTTAATATAAATTCCGAAAAAACAAATCATTTAATAAAATTTAATCTCAGCCGTCGAGATCACACGTACGGTTAAGATCATCAAGGTACGCCATACCCCGGAATTTACCCGGGGTACGATAGAACTGGCCATATATATATATATATGAACTAATTAAGTAATTATTACCAATGCCACAATTATTAAGTAGTACAAAGATTACTTTTGATTCTTAATTTACTAGTGACAATGCCTCAAAGTCATTTAAAATATGAATGAATTGATTATTATGAAGTAATGAAAAATAATAAGATAAATTCTTTCAACTAACGGGTTGGATAAAAGCTAGTGTAATTAGCTAGATAAAAAATATAGGATAGTTATCATAAATGGTAACAAACCTTTTTACTTTGTGCAAAAGGGTCATAATCATTTCAGTGTAATTAGATAGATAAAAATATAGGGTAGTTATCATAAATGGTCACAAACCTTTTCATTTTGTACAAAAAGGTAATAATCCTTTAATTTTGCACGTTTCGGTAATAAAGATTTGGGCGAATAACAAAATAGTAAATCCGTCCAATTCCATCCAAAACTCCGTCCCAGATCGCCCCCGTCAACATGACATGTCAGTGTAAATAATAAAAAATGACTTATCAACCCACTTAACCCGGCAATCCAACCGGCCAGATTAAACCCTTTACCCATTCGGTCCTGAATTGGACTATTACCCCCAAATCGAGCTTTGTGGGAGAAAGCCAGAACGAAAGTCGCAAGGAGAGGGGGAGACTGGCAATTCTCCTTCCATCGGCAACCAAACCTCCTCCAACTGATTCGTCCGCCATCCTCCTCTCCGGCGCTCCTCCAACCAATTCGTTCGTTGGCTGGACTGCGAAAGGTGGGGGAGATTCATCTTCCGTCGCCGAATAGTCCCAGCTCCAAGGAAACAAGAAATAGTCTAGGACTTTACCTTGGGGATTCCTCCTCCATGGAAACAAGAAATGGTAGAGACTAGAAAACAGAACTTGAGACTATGGTATATGCATATATTTATGGTATAGTATTAATAAATATCACAGGCGCATGCGGGAAGGAGGACATGCAGAGATTGTGTCCCTTGCTGCCTCGACTGAGAACCGACCAATGTACTGATGCCATTTACAGGGAGGGGAGCATTATCTGACACAGGGGCGGACACACCTTGGTTCGAAATTTTTGTGAAGAACCCACAAATTTTCGGTGTAAAAAATACGAATATGGGACTTCCGACACACCTCCAATAATTGTAACCGAGACACCTTATTACATTACAACAAAAATTATTGTCATAATGCTATTAAAATATGTAATATAGAACTTATTGGACTTCATATTAGGTAGTTAATTAGTTGGTTGCACAAGAGTAAACAATTAATTGACTACTTAGTACGTAGTGAGTATTTGGAAAGATAGCTATCACCTTAGAGACAACATCGATTATTTGAATGAGAATTAAATTTGATTAATAAGCTGGTTGAGTCAAATAATTAGATAGTGAATTCCAGGCTGTCTTTCTTCAAAGCTTCTTCAATAGATTTTTCTTTAAGTTAATTTTCAACTTGCTTTCTAGTTTAGTTATTTCTTTCCACGTTGACGTCTGTAGCCACCCTTCAATTATCGGCATCGAGCCAACGACATCCTCATGCTCATTCAAATTTTATGTTGACACATGTGGCCACCCTTCGAGCTTCTCATACCAAATTTTTCATCTTAAACTAGTATTGACTTTACCTCTTGCAATTACAAGCTACAAAATGACATTTTTCATATATGAGTTTAATCGAGAACAATCTTTGGTATAAGTTGAGTGACCAGTTTATGAATAATTGTTTAATTTTGTACATAAAAAATATTTGATTTGCAATCTAATGGACGAAATAATTGTTTATGAAAAATCGTCGTGGTTCACGGCAAGAAATAATGAAATTGGTGAAATTTATGAATAAAATATTTCTGTTTATTTTTAATTAATTAATTATAATTTATTTTATTGGTCGACACACCTATCCCAAAATCCTGGGTCCGCCACTTATCTGACAAAACGCCTTCTCCTTTTGTTGCGTTCTTTTACACTATGTTCATGAAGGGCAGAAAGGGTAGAGGAGGGAAAGAAAGGGAAGAAAGCACAAATAACGAGGACTTTTCCCCTGTTCTTGAAGGAGGGAATGGATGGAGGGAAAGGAAATGGAAAGGGAAAGGGAAAGGGAAAGGTTTTTGTAGAACCCTACCCCCAATTTGGAGAGAAAGCTCTCTATGGTAGGTCATTCTTTTTTTTTTTTTTTCTTTCTTTCCTTTATTTTGCTTTACGTATGATATATAGTTAAACATATATATTTTATTATAAATGATAACTTATCACTTTATTGTTAAGCATAAATTTATAAATAAATGATTATGGTGAGTAATTATATGGCAAGGATAATTATGAATAGCATTGGTAAACTAGTTTATACTTTTACGTTGATTTTGTAATTGGTACGGTTTGACCGGAGTACAATTGATTTTATATCCATTTATATTCATACATATGATATTGTTTACGCGATACGTAATACTGTTACGTGACATGTAAAAGTTTGTTACGCAAGGTTGTCAACCCGGTTTAGCTCGTTAGTCCAGTCTAGCAAGTGGGTTGAGGATTAACGATTCGACCGTTTTAGTCCAGATATATGAAAAATGTCATTATATTGTTCTTACATTTATAATATTATATCAAATCTCATCTAACATATGAGTAATACCATATAACATGTCTTCGGTAATCCAATTTTAATGGGAATTTTTTTAAATATAATTAAAATGAATCAGATTTTAAATAAAAGGAAAATTTTTAATAAAAAACCAAATTAGCAAGAAAAATAAATTTGATCCACCAAGAAAATAATATTATCACATAATTTAATTATTTACTATTACATAACCAATAAAATAACATATCTATCACACTTCCCAATACATATCTTCTCTCCCACTTTTCCTTTCACTTTCCTCCAGAAAAAAACATTTTCCTATCCCTCCATTTCCCTCCCCTCCAAACTTTCTTTTCTCTCAATTTTCCTTCCTCCATTCGGAAACAGAGTGTTATTATTCCATGTTTGAGAGTTAAAAGCAGCAAGCCTTTTTCCAGGACTTTCTTTCTTTGCTGCAATGTCGAGTCCATTAAGGCTCCAATCTGAAACCCCAGGAGCAGTAATGTCGAGTCCATCAAGGCTGCAATTTGACCTCGGATCCTCATACTGAGTTCGTGGAACTCGATCCCACTGGCAGATATGGCAGAGTAACTAGCCAAACTAACCCCATTCACCGATTTCTCTCATTCATTCTTTTTTCTCGACCATTTATGGCTTTTCCCTTCTTCTCTGTGTGTTGCGATATAATGAAATTATGGGGAAAGGAGCATCCAAGACCAAGACAGTGTAAATAAATCGTTTGAAGACAACTAAGCTCTGCTTACTTTCTACCCGTTCCAATGACTCATAGTTCTTAATTTTCGTTGCTATTACTCCTTTTCCAGTTACAAGGCGTTTGACAAGGAATAGAAGTGGCGTGGAATCAGGTGAAGCTGCTGGATTCCATGCAGAGCCCAGGGGAATAGAAGATAAATCGCCCCCACCTCCCCCAGTTCAGTCGGCGAACGAATTGGTTGGAGGAGCGCCGGCGAGGAGGATGACAAATGAATCAATTGGAGGACGAGGAGTGTCGGCGAGGAAGAGGATAGCGGACGAATCGGTTGGAGTAGGTCTAATTGTTGACGGCGGGAGAATCGCCAGTTTCCCCCTCTCATCGCGACTTGCTTTCTAGCTTTCTCCCACGTAGCCTGATTTGGGGGTAACAGTCCAATTCGAGACTGGATGGGTAAAAGGGTTTAATCTGGCCGGTTGGATTGCCAGGTTAAGTGGGTTGATTAGCCATTTTTTTTATTATTATTTATACTGACGAGTCATGCTGACAAGGCAATCTGGGACGAAGTTTTGGGAAGAATTGAACGAATTTACTATTTTGTTTCGCTCAAACCTTTATTATCAAAAGGTGCAAAATTAAAGAATTATTACCATTTTGTACAAAATGAATAGATTTGTGACCGTTTATGATAACTACCTAAAAATATATGTATTGAAATTGAACCTTAACGAGGTGGGGGATTTCCTCACCTAGGCTTTGCAATAAAACGATTCCACATTCAAAGGGGAAAAAAGGAGTTTTAAGATGCAGAATTGGAAACCGACGACGATAGACTTATCATAGTACATCTCCAGTTGAGATGAATGACCTTATAACTTCAGCCACAAAAAAAGAAAATTAAGAAAAGAGAACCCAACCCCTACCAAACAGCCAAACGCTAATTCCAGACACAAAGTAACAAAGACCTCTATTTTAACAAAGTAAACCAAACAACCCTACAAAATGCCGCAAATCAAGTCTTCTAATAATGGTTTTCCCTATAATAATGTAAGGAGAGGCCAAAAAAAAAAGAACAAAAATTAACGGAAAAAAAAAGAGTAAACAAAATTTGAGGAGATAACAAGGAACGAAAAACAACCACCTGAAAGGTCTAATTCTTTCCACCTTCGACGGCGGCGGGGGCAGCGACCGCTGCTGGTGGCGCTGGTCTAGCTTGACGGGATCCTCTCTCACCTCCGTTCTGATAAACTTTCACCTCGCCGTTGCGTCCACCACCACCTCTCGCCTGACCTGGGAAATTGCCACCGCCCTGCTGGTTCTCAAACTCACCCTTCCCATAGCCTCCACCACGCCCTCCAACAAAGCTCCCTCCGCGGCCCCTGAAGCCATCGTTCCTGAAACCACCCCTTCTCGGAGTGAACTTCCCGCCTTCCCCAGCAGCTGCACAAGGAAGTAAAGAGAGAGATGTTAACATCCACATGACCAAGGGATTGAATATTGCTGATTTTAAGATTGTCATGAAAGGTAATTAGAGTAGCAAATTACCTTTCTTCTTCTCGATATGCGCTTCCCGGTTGCCAATCATGATGGTCACAGCCTATAGTAATAACCAGTCAGAATAAGTATGAAAGGACGCAAAGCAAAATCAAGTAAGAATCAGTAAACGGCGATAACAGTACCTCAAGGGCTTTCTCCATGGAGCTAGCTGATTCAAAATCCACAAACCCAAAACAGTTCCTCTCTTGCTGGAAATTAAGATATTGAAGATACAAACCATGTCAGGATTGTTCATACAGAGCAACCAAGTAAGAGAAACTACCGAGTGCTGTAAAATATATATCAAACCAAAGACCTTGTAGCTTCTGACTTGGACACCACCTTGCTTGATGGGCCCGAATTTCTGGAAAATCTCGTAGAGTTGTTCAGGAGTTGCATCCATGGGCAGATTGGCAACAAAGATAGAGTAACCCTTCCCTGCGACAGAACAGATTGACAAATATATATTAGAATTTGGCTAAACACACGTTACCAAAACAATGAGCTCGGATACCAGCAAGGGTAGAAAAGCAAACTTTAAGAACCTGTGAAATTGTTGCTCCTTTCAACGGAGTTGTTTCTTGCAGGGCGAGGAGCAGAAGCTTCTGTTGGTGCAGCTGCTGGTGCTGCAGCTGCAGCAGCAACAGGAGCATGGACCACAGGTTTTGGTGGTGCAATCCTCTGCTGGAATGGATGGGGCTTGTAGTTCAATTGGTTAGCCTACATGCAGAGGGAAGAAACTTGAGCAACCAGATAATATAAAGGCTGTTATCGTTTCGGCCAAAAAATGAGAAACAAAAAAGAGCTTTATATGTGAGAATTACGCACAATTGAAGCATAAGACTTCTTGGGAGCATCCTCCAGAGCAATAGGGGTAGCAACTGTCTCAGCCTGCTGGTGATGATTTTCTTCCTCGGGTGCAACTTCTGCCTTTGGAATAGCAGCATCAACTTCTGCTGCCTCAGCTATATGATTTGGTACGTAATCTTTCTCTGCAATAGCAACGTCACCATTGTCCAGCTGAAGGCTAACTTCATTATTGGCTTGGATGGTATCTTCAGCAGCAACAGCAGTAGCATCTTGCTCTACCACCACATGATTGGTGAAAGGAGTTGCCTCTACAAAATCAGACAGCAAAGATCAAGTTTTATTAGTAAGCACATTGCCCTACGAAAGTTTAATCTTAAGAAAACCAGTATTCAGAGCTAACCGGGTTCAGGAGCAGCGACAGGGGCAGTATCAGCAGCAGCATCAGACCCCTTCACTGCTGGGAATTCTTCCTCATCCACATACCTCAGAACATCGTTCAAGACGAAGAATCCAGCAGTATCTTGTGGAGCCAAAAAGAATAATTGGGTGAATTTTCGCTTCAGCCCGTCCTTTGCAGTGAGGAAACCAGTCACAAGAACAATGACTCCATCCCCAAATGATTTCTGAGAATCAGCTGTCAGTATCTGAACTTCGCAGTCTTTGTACTCCAGAGAAAGGATCATCTGATTAATCCCCTGCAAGAACAATATCAATATTAAGCAAAAGAACGATACGGAAGCAAGAAAGCAATAAACCAAATCCGGGTACAAGGAAAAACTTAACAAACTGTAATAAGAAAATGTCAAGCAAAGTAAGAATGCCCAGCAAGGATCAAGATATTTAGAATATGAACCAGAGGTAACAAGCACTAATTAGGTCACAACATATATAAATCCAACTAAAGGTCACTGCTTTCTTTGCAAAAGAGGCAGATCACTAAGCTGCAATAGGTAAAACACAATCATTCAGATGAACCTATGCAAGAGTTACCTCCTAGTTGAATGAGACAGGTAAAAATTGAAAAGCACCAGAAATGATACATGACGAGCAGCGAGCTCTTTGATAAACTTACAGCCATAGTTGAGACAGAAGACATCAGGCCATCAGCAACAGGCCTGCTCATGACACTGGAGTCCTGATAAAACTTATGAACCACATCTGGTGATTTCGACAGCATGTTGTAGTACTGCTCAACAAAAGCATTCCCAACCAACTGAGCAGTGGGAGAGGGAACATGATCTTCACCGTGCATTGTCATCTCTGCTGTAAACCAAACACAATATAAGAATTAGAAGTGAAAGAAGCGAGAATCTTTTCATCATCGCTAGCAGTAGAGGACTTGTGGTAGTGCATTTACTCTCATTCTCAAAAGTAAACAAACAGCCATTCAAGACTAACTAAAAGATCAAGCACGGCATAAAAAACCCAAATACCACTTTCCAAGCAGGACCAGCTCGACTCCCGTACAGTAACTACCAAAATAAAAACCTACCAGGAACCAGTATTCTTCAGCTTAGTTTATATGTCCTTGATTAGTATCAGTAACACTTATCAAAACAGCAATTAAGCTTCGTAAAACCATAAACTAAGATGTATATGTTACTAAAAGTACAAATAAATCAGCTCAAGAAAGAAAAAAAAAACACAAACGATACAAATAAAGATCAAAACAATAATATAAAATGATCACATCAATCTCAGAGCCGAAACAGCTACCAGATCTAGCAAAAACAACAAATAAATCTTGAAAATTAAATAAAAGAATCACAATACTTTCCGACGACCCAATCGGAACTTGATTCCACAATCACCGGCTAAATACCTTTCACTAACTAACCTAAGAATATAAAGACACTACCAAATCAAACCGAAAATCAGGAAAAGACAGTCAGAAAGGAAACAAGAGCGGACGGCAGAGGACATACCTCCGAGGAGCTGAAACAATCAAATCAGGGTTTCTTATTCCTCCCCACCCACGGAGAGAGAGCTGGAGGCGGAAAACGTGGTGACGATACGAGGGACACAGAACCGCCGGCGAAGAAGGGAATCGCTGGTGGAGTACGTGAGCTGCGGCCGCGACGGCGGAATTGGCAGAGAGAGAGAGACCCCTCAAAAAGAAGAGAGAGGGAGAGAGTTGGAGATCGGGCGAAAGGGTTGGCTTTATATATAAAAAAAAAAATTATTCGAGAGGTTTTTTTGGGTTTGGGCTTTGTTGGAGGGTTTTGAGGGAATTTTATTTATATTATTTTTTCCTAATACTGATCGGCTTCGGTCGGGCCGGGTGTCTCTTCTCTTCCTTTTTAGTTTCCGGCGAGGAAAATGATAAATTTTATCTTTTATTTTCATTTTAAGGAGAGAAAAAGGAAAATAAAAGGATGTGTGGGGTCCAGTGGATCGTACCACGTGAGTTTTATGATAGAAGGGAGTCCCCGGTCGCTGGATGCGATTTTTGTACGGCTGTGATTGATTTTTGAATTATCGTTACGGTCGCAGTTTTGGGATAGAGGATCCGACGGTGGTCGTTGGTTCATGATGGAGGAGAATAAAGGTAGGTTAGGTGACAGGCGTGTAAAATACGCGCTGACCATTCATCAATCATATATATACTAGCTTTTACCCGATCCGTTGGTCTCGGATCAATTTCATTCTATTTTGTATAATTTATTTTATCAATATTTATGATTTACTTGATTTGGGATCTTTAATTTTATATGATTCATGAAAAATATTTGTGGTTTTAAGAGTTGACAATGACGTAAAAGGATAGTCCAAGCTATTATATTGACCAAAATCTCAAATATTTGAAGTATTTATTTGAAATTTTATTAAATAAAACACTTGTTGATTCAAATATACAATCGTTTGTCGTGAAAATGGGATTTTATGAAAAAAGATTCATGACTTCATAAAGAAAGAAAACCAATTTGATATTCAATAACAAATGTGAACATCGTTTGGATCATATATTTCAGTTATGTATTTGGTATCTAAATTCAACACATGCGAGATTTGTCTAACTCCTAAATTTGGAAGTAGGTGCTAAAACTCTAATCAAATCAAAGGTCAAGGACGAAAAGTTTTGCTATCGAATTTGAAATTTGTTGGTCCCCATTAATTTGGAATAAGTGACATCCATAAATTATATTTGTAAATCGAGCAGTCAAAGAGACCGATGGGAAAGACATAAAAGTAAAGAAAACAGTAAAACCATCCAAACAACAAACCTGGGAAGAATTATCATGGTGCCATATTAGCCAACATACAATACATTATTAGTAGTTGATTAAAAACATGTCATCTTCAAGATTCTCTGGCAATCTCATGGTTTATTGATTAAAACGTGATTCCCAATATGAGAAATCTGTATGTGATCTGGTCACAATTATCTTTTCGCCTATGTTGGTCCTTGCAATTAACAACCCATAACAAAATGAGATAGCATGTGGCATAGTTATAAGGTATACGCACAAAAGTGAGTTATTAAATGTCCAACGGATCAGGAAGTAAACATTAATAACCCACTTAGCAATCATCCATATTAGCACAGAACATAGTCATCGAAGTAGCTGTTGTTTTAAGAATATGTTATCACCAACATAAACAATGTCGTGTGAGAATGAGGATGCATGGTAAGCTATTTTCGTACTATTATCTGATGTTGTATTGAAAACAAATTGTCTTGTCCCCATCCATCTTGTAATGAAATCCTAGCCCGAGTCATCTACTAAAACAACGGCTTTCACCATCAACAACAACTACATGAAGAAAAGAAAGGGGGCTTCAAGTAATTAGTATATGCTAGCATTAGGAATGTTTAAACTTTCACTAATTGTTCTTGCTTCTAATTTTAAAAAATATAGCAGCGTTACCAAAGAATGCATTAGCAAAATATGACGGGGAACTAATCAAGAGCACACACAACAATTCATGATCTCAAAACGACAACTTAACCAAGAACCCCACCCACCGAAGACGAATTGCAAAATATTTTAACACATACATATATGCAAAGCGATTATCCTCTAATTGGTTCATTTTATAGTTATTATTTCCTTCCCTTCATTTATGTCATTATCTAGATGATTTCATATTTTCATTATTTGGGTACTTTTTAATTCTCAAATAATGATTCAATTCAAAGAGCACTTTAGCTAATGCACTACATTTATAGCCTTAGCACCCTTTACTTATTGGGAACTCCGTTTAGATAATATCACACAATAAGTACTTGCTATCAAAACTATGCATGTGTCTTAATAAACCCCTCGATGCAACCCTTAACTTACGTGATTAAAGAAGCAACAAATGACGGTCATATTCCTTAATCCCAGAAGACATTCGCTACCCACATATTAGATGTCTACCGTAGATAAATGAAACTTACTTCGTAGTGTCCGCAATTTGATGGTATTCAACCTTAAACAAAAAGTGATAGCGAAAGCAATGGCTGTACTATTTTTTAGACATCAGATGCAACAACTCCTTCCCCTCCCTTTGAGGACCATCACAACATAGATCTATGTTCCTACAACTTCCACACCTATACTAAAACTTCAAACCCATGACAATAAAGATCTGTAGGAATTTTTGCCTCCAAACATGTAACTTTAGACATACCAGAACATAATTTTGTGTTAAAAATGAAAGAGGAACAGACAAGGGATCAGGAGGAAGGAGAAACAAAGAACTGAAAATGGCCCATTTATTCTAATCTATTTATCACTTTAGGGTTTTAAGTGTTCATGGTTGGGTTGGGTTCATGGATCGGGTTGGGGAAGCTGACGTGGTGGATTTAGTGACATGGCGGGTCGGGTTTCATTATTTTCGGCACATAAATATGCTGACTAGGCGCTTCTGTTTGCCACATCAGCACTTAACGGAGTCAATTAACGGAGTTGGACGGAGACTAACAGAGAGTGACCAAACTTGAACTGTTTAAATAATCTTAGTGACCACCAATGCAGTCAAAATCGTAGGATTTTAGGATTTTAATTAGAGATTTCGATTAAGATTTTACTATAAAATCGGTGGACCTTAAAATCGATTAAAATTGGGATTAAAATCGTTAAAATAGTAAAATCGTACCAAAATCGGGATTTTGATCCTATGTGAACAAAATAGGTGGTTTGAGCCAATTCATAAAAAGCCGAAATGTTTCGGTGGAAAGGACAATGATAGGGATCTTCTTAGATATTTTTCCTATTAAAAGAACATTTAAAATGAAAAAATAAATAAATTAGGGTTAGGTTAACCCCTTCTCCTTATTTAACTCATCGATAAAATAGCTGTCATAATATTGTAAATACGTAAGAATTAACATCATCATTGACAAATAATTAATTAATGAATATAATTGTACCAAACTAATGACACTAATTATTTTATTTGAGTTCACTTATTCTTAGTTTTAAATCATGCTTAGTAGACGATGTCAGAATACTACTTTGAGTTAAACTACCTAAACACAACACAAAAACAAGAGTCAAACCCTATGAGCTATATCCCTTCCTCATAAATTATTTTGAATTACGCATTAAATAACAATTAAAATGATGATTTTGGAACATTAATCTTGAAACTTATCATTTTAAATGTTATATGTCTTTGTGTTATTAATGATTTACCTTATTAATATTATTATATATTAATTTGTATATGGTACTTAAAATCCTAGGATTCTACGATTCGATTTTATGATTCTGATTTTATCCCAGTTTTCGATTTTAGGTAAAATCCCGATTTTGACTGCTTTGAATAGAATTAAATATTTCTAGTGACCAAACATGAACGTTTTTAATAATCTCAATGACCAAACTTGTAATTTACCCTTATTATTTTGTTTCATAGATTTCGTGATAGATTTTGTTAATTAGATTTGTATATGACACGCCAAAACACAATACCAAACTGTGACCAAGTGTAATCGCAGTTCGGGAATGCAGTAACAGGCAAGTTCTATTATCAACCCGGGGTCTAGATCTACTGCTTACTCCGTGATTATCTATTATCTAACCAACTAAGTCGAGTGAGTTGTTTAAACTAAAAGCAGTAAGAAAACAGGAAATGGTTCGGTTTTCAAAAGCAGGGAAGAGTCACTCGGGAAATGAGTCCCCCTAGCTCCTTATTTAGGTTTCAATTGTAATTACCCTGGGTTGATTTACTGTTGATTAGACTGCGGAAGATCCGACAGTAGCTTGGAATCTCTTAAGCTGACCAAGCCCTCTCAGTCTAACTACCCGGCAGACGACTAGTCTTCACCGGGACAGAAAGCTGAAGCAATGAGCACAGAACTCCACTACTGGAATTGGATTCCAGTACAAAGCAGTAAACTAGCTAACTCTCGTATAACCAATCTCCTACTATCGAATTGGATTCCAGTACCAATGAGCACAGAACTCCAGGAATGCCCGTGTGGCTTCCTCAGCCCTCGCCACGCGTCCGATCTTCGTCCAATCGACCCCAAACTCGCTCCCAAGACTCCATTCACGTACTAGGACCTGAAATATCACAAACAAGCACAACCTAGCGTGAAATCGGCCTAAAACACGAAAAACCACATCTCAAACGGTGTAAGAACAGGGGTAAAAACATGTGTAATTAACGGTCTATCAAACTCCCCCACACTTAACCGTTTGCTTGTCCCCAAGCAAACCAAGTCAGACACAAGGTAAGCTCACATATTTCAGCATTGGGGACAAGTCATAAAGGCACATAACACGTGAATCGCACTGGTTTTCAAACGTCAACACATGAACAACTTCAATAGCAACCTGGACAACCACCACAAAGGACATTCGAGTGCAGCAAAATCGAGTAAAGGAAGAGTCTCCCTTCTGTTCACCAACCAACCTAGACTTGACTTAACCACTTACTCAAAACAGTCACCTCATGCATCCAACTCAAGACATCAGAATAGAGACCGAGCAATCTAGGTCCTCACCGGGGTACAAGAGTATATAGAATATGAAAATGAATCGCTCACTCTCGACCAGTGGGGTCAGGACAATTTGATGCGAAAAATGTGCATGCTATTTCTCTCAATCCCTAACATCTCTTCACCATGATGGCAGCCTCTAAATGCTAGAGTTCACATATGGGGTGTCACCACTAACTAATCCGGAG